CAAAAGCAAGATGTCAAATGAATATTTTATTATTTTTTCTTTTCTATTCTTTTTAATTAAAAATAAATCAACACTAAAATGTAATAAAATAATAATTTAATTTGACATATCGGGTGGAGTGTAAAGCTGTGTAAGATGTCAAATTGCCATATCAGCCATCAAATTTAAATTTGATGTTTGGTATTTGACATCTCCCTTGGAGATGCTCTTAGCTACTCAATATCAGCCGCTTCTTTCTCCCTCTATTTTCTATATATTTTTAATTATAGTTTTAATTTAAAATTGAGTATTGTAGGGTTTATTTAGGGATGAAAGATTGTTTGCTAATGCATCGATAATTGAAGAATTTAAGAGTTCTAAGCCTCACATGGTTAAATTTTAGATTTAAAATAGTGTTCTTTTGTATTGCATTTACTTTTGGTTTAGTTTTAGTTTTTGTATTTGTTGAACTTTTATTTATGTATAGAGATGCATTTGAGGGTAAGGCTCATTACGTATTCCCTGACTATGTGTATCATTTTATGTTTATTAATGAAATTCACTCGTATCGTCGAGTTTAGTATGTAAGTTTTGCCCAACTGGCTTTCAAATCCTGGAACCGCCACTGAGGCCAAGCACTCAAGTTTCATTTGACACAAGTTATTTTCTATTGAAGATGTTTTTATCAAAATCATTAATGATCCTTATAGGTCAGTTATCTTTCTTTCTTTTTCTAGATGTTGTCTTTGGAGGCTCTGTTGCTGAATATATTGGGCATAAGTGTTTTAACCAGCTAGAATTTTCAACTGATAAGAGTTATGTAATTAAATTGAATAGCTTACTTCAACAATTATCTGAGAAGTATAGTCATGGTTATCAAAGTGGCATCAGATATAGTAAAAGTACTTATATTAATGGGCTATCACAATGTTGGAGTAACAGCTCCTGCTCTGTTTGCAGAAGTTGTATCAGGCTTGCAATACAAACGATTCGCATTCTTTGTCTTAAAAAGAAAGGAGCTATAATTTGGTATGATGACTGCCTCTTAAAATACTCAAATGAACATTTCTTGGATAGGAGTGATACAGTTAGCTGCATTTTTGTGATGAATAGAACCCTCCCTGATCATCCCTTGTTGCTTTATCATAAAGTTCATGATGACTTGGTAGCCCAATTATGTTGTAAGGCTTATGTTAATAAATTCTTGTATACTCATGGGATTCTACAGCTTGGTATATGGACCAATTCAGTTTATGGTGCAGCTCAATGTACTAGAGACCTTACTAGTATAGAATGCAAGAATTGCTTTGATGTTGCAATGAGCGAACTTCTAAATCAAAGTTATGAATTAAGTGGTGGTCATGCGTATTATGGTAGTTGTTATATTAGATTCGAACTTTACCTCTTCATCTATATTATGAGTAAACAAATTATATAATTGGTCGCTACACCTAGCCTTTAACCATTAGGTATAAAAGGATTAACGGGGTCTAACCCAGTGAAAAAGGGCCTTAACTTGCATACTAGATGTCTTAGGATTGAACCCTTATGGAACCTTTTTTTTTGGGGGGGGGGTCAATCAATGTTCATTAAAACCCCAAAAATGGGAAGGAAACAAACAGAGAATAAAAGGGCAGAAAATGCCAAATGCATAAACAAAGTACCACAAGCACGGGAAAGATTAGACTAAAAACCAGTACAATCTAGTATAACAAATCTTCCTCACACAAAATCAAAACAAAATACAAAACAGAGCCACCGTTGCCAAAATGGGATCGGAGACTGCACCAATATGGCCACAAAGGAGGGGATTCACATCCTCCACATAGGTCAGCATAGTTGCACATAGAGACCAACCGATCTTACGTCAAGAACAAAATTTCCCCGAAAAACAGAAACACATCAGCACAAGAACATTCCTCCAAGAGTCACTTTCTGTTTCACACCCGAGTCTGCTTGTGCTCCAAGAAGAAAACAGCAACCAATCACAAAAAAACCATGGTATATACCAAAGGATTGAAATCAAGGGAGTGGAGAGTATTGGTGCAAGCACCAGAGCTAGAACCGTAGCAAGAGCTCTATATGCAATCAGATAAAAACGCAACAAAGCGCTTAAAGAAGTAGTTGTTGTATCTCAATGGAGAAACCAGATCCGTAAAAAGGAGGAAGAGTAGGAGGCAGTGGCGGAGCCACTCCTACGCTTGGAGTGGCCCTGGACCTCCCATATTTTTATCTCTCCTATATTATATTATATATAAAATTTATAATTCGTAATAAACAACTTATAATTTAAGTTATAGTTCCCTCTAAAACAAAATAGACATGACTAAATTATAAATATTTAGCTTTAAACATGTAATTATTGAATACTTAGGTGTTTTATATACTTGTATTTCTACTTCGGCCTCCGCCCTTGGTAGGAGGGGATGTTGAGGGAGAAGTAAATCTGGTTGAAGGGGGTGTGGCGAAGAAAGGAGGACACAAAATTGGCTTGAATCTCAACCCAGAGCACAAGGCTCAAGCATCCTCCAGGAGAAGCAACCAACTCTCCGAGACAACCACCAATTCTCATAGACAGCCACCAACTCTCAGAGACAACCACCAACACAGCCAAACATGCTCAAACACAAAATACGACCAGCCCCACAAAAGAATCCAAGGCAGGGGGGGTTGAGAGCTAATAGAAACGAAAGAGAAAAAGAAGAAGAGGGGAGGGGGAGAGAGGGGAAGAGAAGAGGGACAGTCCTCCTCCCCTAATGGAGTCGTGCGAGGCTGAGAAGAAAAAGGGGGGCGCTAGGTTTTTTTATTAATGTTTTACCCTTAGGTCATGTTTGGTTCATGGAACGGATTTGATGGGAAATCATTTCCCATGTCATTTCCCAAGGGATGGGAAATTGTGATTCCTTTCCCATGTATGGTAATGTCGGGAAAGTAACCCGGAAATATCACTTTATTTCTTTTCCCATGTTTGTTTTGAGTAGGAATGGAAAATAAATTTTGTTTAGTTTCCCAATTATACCCCTATTAAAGAAATATGAATAAAAAAATAAAAAAGAATACCAATAGTTGTTGGATAAAAACTGTAATTATGAATTGTTAGTAAGGACAAATTAGTCAGAAAAAAAGTGTATTTAATGCTAGCCTTACTTTCCCATGGGAAGGGAAAGTAAAACCCAAGAAGGAAGGAATGCTTCACTTTCCTTCCTACTTTCCCATGTGCCAGGCAACGATTTCCCATGCCTGACTTACCAAACATGGGAAAGCAATTGATTTCCCATCCCCAAGATTCCTTTCCCATGAACCAAACGGGGTATAATGGAATCTTGGTAGTAGTGTGTGTGAAAAGCTCCCTCCTCCTTTAGTTTAGACTATCATTTTTATTAAAAAAAAATATATAGAAGTTAAGAGTGGTACGAAAATTATAAGATATTGTACCCCCATTTTCCTTTTCTCCCACATCCATCCTACTTTTTCTCACCTCGTTTAAATTATATTTGTTGTAACATATCCAACACATGCATAGCATAAGTGATAGTTCTATTTTATGTTACAATTGTGCAAATTTGCTATTCCATATTCTATAAGTTCAAGCCAAGAAAATAGAATAAACTTATACTAAAAAAAGTTGGTCATCACTGAAATATATGTTCATATGAATTTGACTCAAAACAAATTCACCCTCATTACCTAGCCTTTGAACCTTGTGCCTCCGAATTTTTCAAGGCCTTAGGCGTCCTTTGAACAAAATAAAAGAGAAGTGGTATTTATATATAATCCCAAGTTATACAAAGAGGACATTTCTACATTATTCATTTGATAATCCACTTAACAAGTCTTTAGTTTTTCCGCCATTATACAAGTGTCATATACATTGAAGCAATAATGCCTATCACTTCAATTTTTTTTGTTCTTTCTATACATTGGCTTGCTTTGCATCCAAGTTTAATCTTAGAAGGCCAAGCTCATTAGTGAAATTATTCTCAAGATGGCATGCGCAATATTGGATTAGCATGTAATCCAACAAGAAGATCAGCCAAAAACAAATCTATTAATATCGCTTCATCAAGCCCAAGAAGAATCTAGCAAAAGAAAATCAAGCCCAAGAAAAAAAGTATTTTTTAAAAAAGAAATTGGTGCTCAAACACATGGTCTTGAATCCAAACAAATCAGTTCATCATAAAATCTAGATTTCGACCAAAAAAAAAATCATAAAATATAGATCTTTCTGTTTGAGATCCAAACAAAATAAGAATATCGTTAGATTGTGTATTTGTGTTGTAAATCATGATTACAGATTTCGTAAGCGTGAAAGGATTTGAAGCACAACCAAGAAAGAGTAGCCCATGCATTATTATGCCCTATAGCTTCTATAATAAATTGCCCACTAGTTTAGTGTTGGGTCCCGTTCCCTTTGTATAAAGTTTAGATATGTAGTGTTAGTGGCTTATAACTCAATTGGTCGAGTTCTTCCACCTACATAGTATCAGTGGGTAATAACCCAATTGATCGAGTTTTTCCACATCTACTCACGCGGTTCAAAACTTTCAGACACCCAATGAATATTTTTGTGCAAACCCCCCTCCCCCAATTGCTTGTTTGTATTATTTCTTTCAAACCCCCCTCCCCCAATCGCTTGTTTGTATTATTTCTTTTTAAAAAAATTTGGCACGTATTATTAATGCACAATATTCGTATCCATTTTTGCCAAACTTTGTCCCCATCATCTTCAATGACCCAACCCCACCCACTATCAAATTTCATTTAACTAACACGTCCATTTATTTTTGTTAGGTTTAATCAACACATTTAAAAAATATGAAGAAAGATTGCTTTTTTGGTCTGGAATTAAGAAAGATCGTTGTTCCTAAAGAAAATCCCACAACCCACCATGCTTTTAATAACAATATCTAAACGTATATCTGAATCTAGCTGATAAAATACGCCGCTGCTGCTAATATGAGCCGCTGCTGCTCTCACGTTCTGTAGCCAGTTTCGTCGCAAAGCAAAGGCCGTTAAAGATGCTCTGACTCAAAGGCCCGTTACGTCGTGACGCAACGAACGGCGCCAAAATAATATTAAAATCCCGATTTATAATCCCATTAGTTATTTATTTAT